GTCTGGGTCAGCCGTCGCGAGTGGTACAGTGGCCAAGTCGAAAATAGCTCTTCGCCAAAACAGAGAGTTAAACAACCATCATTTTACGTAGTCAAATATGTATGGAAATGAACAAAATCTTACGTTCAGAAAAGCTCTAAGTTTACTGGCATACTAAGAAGCTGTCACCAGGGCGAAATACAACCCGAGAAAACCTGTGTAATAGGTTAAGCGGTTATTTAAATCTCATTTTTGAAAATAGTTCAATAAAAGGCTCCTCCTTTGCACCTTCTCTTGACGGACTAGCCTCCGGGCCATGTCAGTAGCCCTGAGCCCTCCTGTACGTCACCAACAGCTAATCTGCCCAAGTATTTTCTTCTTTCGTCTTTAGGCAAGTCGCGTTGCAACACCTGTTTTGACGTAATTAAACGCCAAGTTAAGCAGAAAACCAAAACGCTATCGCGTACAGAAATTTAAGATGAAATGGTTCAAGAAAGACACAAAACAATTATGGATCCAATTATTAGCAGTTCATTGCACTAAATTAGTCTACAATGTCTAGAAGATTATGGCCACTTGAATTCGAAGAGGAATCAAAGTAATGATTTGGCTGCCAATCCATTCGTAAGTTCCCTACTATACTGCGATTTTCCATAACACAACTCACCCTAAATAGGCTTAACGAATTGATGAATTTGCCGCACACTTAAACACGGACAGTTGTGCAGGCGTTTAACAGGTTGTGGTATGTTCACACGCCAATATTTCCTTGATGAGTATTTTAGTTAAATTGCCTTTGCTCTATTTTTTTGTAGTGTACCATTCTAATGACGATAATTATGCTGCATTCTAAAAGTTAATGAAATAAATAAATTTAGCGCCTCCTTGGGTATTTGCGTGCCGCTGCTTTTGACTGTGTGCGAACATGGGTTGGGTCTTCCTACTAGCTTCCGTATTATTCATTGGAATCCTTGCTGTATGGTGTGCCGCTTTTATTTCACAATATTAGGAGGATGATTTTTCGCCCTTGAGTGTGGTAATTGAGCACTCTTTTGACAAGGGTAATTTGTTGTCAGTTGTCAAGTAATTTCAAGTTTTGTAAAGTGTTCGGCTCCTTTAAAACCACAAATCTAATTAAATTGGTTTTTTCATTACTTGTTAGATTTGATCCTGTCCTAACCAGTGTGATATTCTTATACGTCAAAGGATTTTTAGTTTTTGTACGCTTTTGTTATGAATTAGTTCCCTTCATCATAATTATGTTCACCGTTGTAGGGAAGTCGTTCAAACAAAAAGGCATTGTTTCTTCCTGGTTAGATGGAGGGGAATCCTATCTACTAAACGAACCTCCACTTACGATCGATGACCAACGTTCTCTTAAAGTACTGTGTGTTCACTATTAGGATTTTAGACTTTGGCCTTGGACGATTCTCTTTATATTATTCGTGCCTACACAAAACCCAATGCTTTTGTTCTTATGGGGTCTTGTCCGGCTGTAGGTTATGCGAGTCGATTAGGTTTTGATTGTTCATATTGCTTAACTCCCTTTTTTTGTACAGCTTTATGTTATCGCTTCCAATGGACAAATAACCCTAGTTTTGAATATTGATGCCTCGGGTTCACCAATTGCTTTATCAATCGTTGCAAAAAATCAGACATCTGATGTTGACATGCATCGTTCTACCTCTCCAACGGTGTTTTCCACGATGGTGTCCTTTCAAAAACCCACTTTTTCCATCGGGTGTGTTAGAAAACATCATTGTTTTTTTTTCTGATAAAAATAAGTCTTCTGTCCTCATTCTTTTTTCTTCTAGACCTGAAACACAGGAATACCTCGCAAAAATGGACCGGCAACGCGAGGAGAAGCTTCGTCAAGACCAAGCTGACAATCGATCTTTTCTGGCAAAATATGTAAATAATTTTCGCAATACTTTTTATGCAGTTTTCATTTAACTCTAGTAGTTACTTTCCCAATTTGACTCTAATGGGGCTTGTATAGTTCGCGTCTTTTATTCTTTTATAAAAACTTTGGTGCTGATAAAACATTGGACAGTCTTGTATACTACTGTAACTATTATTCCTGTTATTTTAGTGGATGTACATTCTACCAGCCGTCTTCTTTTTCATCCTCCTTAACTCAGCTGATCAAAATACTGGTGGGAATTCCGAGTAAACCTTTTGTTTCTGCTCCCAATCTGGCACTTCAATGGGTTGGCCTGTTATCTATATTTTGTGCTTCTTCAGATATTCAATCCACTGTGAATATAAGTATCATCTTTCGAATGTTTTGTTTTTTTTCCTTATGCAGGGTATCGCATGTCTTTGGGTAGACCGAAGTCCAAATTTTCTTTCCGTTAAGTGCTAGTGTACTTATTGCTGTTATTCTTTTTTTCTGTTTCGCAAGGTTGGATACTTGAGTGTCTGTATTCCTGTGTGCTGCTGTTACGACCCTTCGTCGCTTAGTAATCTGACACCTCTGAATGATTTATCTGAACGATCTACCTGTTTCACAATTAGAATGTGACTCGTGCGAGGTATGCGCCATAAACAATACCATAAGTACGGTGGAAATAAATGTTAACATGCGGTAGTGTGCGTTGAAGGAAGGTGGGAAGACATGATCGGCCCGTGGGAGGTGGTTTCGCCGATGAGACGGTTTGCACTTTTTTTTTCCATTTCACCCTTTATTTATGAGAGGGAACTTTGAAATTGAGTAATTGGCTTCGTTTAAAGGAACCGTTTGTAAGCTAGGCTGTTTTTTAAAAAGGTTTTCTGATCGTATAATTCTAGGTGTGTATCAGTGCATTAAACTAGTAACCGAATAATAACCAAGTTCATGTTAGAAGTTTTCTCAGGTTTGATTTACTCTAACATTTTTTTTTATTTTTGAACTGTACTTTGCTGTTTTTTAATCTGACCCCGTGGATGCACACCCTTTGGTCTCTTAGCCTAATTCATAGAATAACAGCGTGTAATGATCTCATACCTGAAATTTAAAATGTTAAAGGCCCGAGTAACTATTGGAGGGCAAATTTTCCGTTGCTGTAGAATCAATTACATCACTGAGCTTCCAGTAGTTAAATGGGTTCGCATGCTACTATGCTTCTGTCTAATGTCGTCCATAGGGTATGGGACACCGTTTGACATGTTTGCTGCCAAAATCTCAGAGGAAGATAAACCGTCTAAATGTCACACAACATTAGCTGTCCTCAGGACAAGAGCATCATAATTCTCCCAACTTTTCGAAGTTAGCCATTATGTTTTGTTACACATTTTAATGTAATCTGTTGCCATAAACGCATGTCACAGGTGTATAATGGTGATTTTGAATAGTGTGATTTGTGGCCTCCATATAACGATAATTTCACGCTAATAAATTATATTAGAAACTCTCGATCTTTACCATGAGGTAACGATGCTATGCAATTCCAGATATTTTTACCCATTCGGAGAAGTCCCTCTCTGAAAAGGAGCAGTTTAACATATATGGTGACTTAAAAATCTGAAATATCCAACCCTCAATAAAGCATAACGCTTGGCAGTACGAAGCAATAATGATGATACAGTTAATTTCGTTAACAAGGCGCTACTCAGCGTGATCATGCAAGTTGTCTGTAAATCTGCGATAAAAGTAATAAGGGGCGGTGTCAGAGGGCAGTGGTGTCTTCTTCATTGCTTGGAACTACTTCACCAGCATATGATAATACAGTGGAGCTGGGTGAAACTGGGTTGAAGGGACATCCCGTGAGCATAGCCGTGGCCTTCTGACACCCATCCTCACCCCAATGTCCCATCTCGCGAAACTTCTGCAATTGGGATAACTTTTGCCTTCGTTTCAATACTAGAGCCACCTGCCAGTCAGGCTGTGCCTCTTCATGCGATATTCGCCGAATCCCCCTGTCCCCTCCCTGTCCTGGCATCTGATGTTGCTGCTGCTCGCTTAAGATGGATGAGGTGGAACGAAAGGAGCTTAGGCTAGTTGATGAGACACTGCCTCTCTCTGTAGTCCTGAACGAGGGTGTTCCTTGAATGCGCTGAGAGAATTCGTCGAAGATAAAACTGGCTCCTTTAGTGGCTACGCGGAGGGGTGAGTAGGCCTGTCGGAAATCCACAGTCTTTGAGCGCTGCACGCGCTTAGCGTAGCTAGGCTTGGAAGAGTCTGAGAGCTTTCGTCTGCTTTCCCGATGGTCCTTGGCCTCGAGGAATTCTTGGCATAGTAGATCCTGCTCTTTCTCCATGCGTTGGCAAGCTTTCTGCTCCTCCAAAGTCAATTTTTCCATATCTAGATTGAGCTTTTTACTGGCGCTTTCATTAGCATGTTTGCAGCGTTTTGCGATCTGGCTGCTGTTTGGGTGAAATGTAATGTCAGACTTGTCTGTGATGTTGGGTGATGATGGTGTTCTTAGGCTGTCCATTTTGCATGCCCATGCTGATGCAATTCACTCTGCTTTTATTCACCCCTAACGCAGTCCCTAGTTGTTTCCATGACGATGGAATAATTTATGCATCCCTGCGTGGTTTTCCAGGGTTCTACTGTGAAATAATTGTGTCAAAGACCGCGCCATTCGTATGTCATATAGGCACACTGTGATTTTCAAAACTCAATTCTTAAATTTGATATAATCTTTCGCTTATGAAATCCACTGAGTCATTTGTATGTAATATATCAGCATTGAACAAAAAGTAGGCTGAGCTTTTTGCTGTTCAAAACGGCGACGTTGATGAATTGTCCTCAAAATAACCTGCCATATTCTACAACTCAGTTGTTTATGGCCAATTATAAATTCAGTTTTAGGACGAGCCTGTAGAAATCTCAAAGCTTGCGTTGAGTTAGACTTGCATGGCGAGCCAGGAGGCGACGGTGATAACTTGTATTTCTAGCCAAGTCGGAATCACTAATGAACTAACCGTTTTCGATTTTAAGCCAAAGGGTAATTTTATGAAAGGGCATAAATTTTGTACCGTATAACGATATGAAAAGGAACGCATCTACAGATATACATAATGGCTAGGTTTCTTTATCCATGCATATATTTGTGGTCATATTTACCGAAAAGGAGTCGGTAAATAGGAATAGAATTTCAGTACCAATTGAAGTAGAGAATTGCGATTAGGCACCAAGTTTATTAGCATCAGGGTTGTCGTCGCACCCATTTTGCGTTGATAAGAGCGTGACATCCGAATTGTCACTAACGAAGGAGGAAATGATGCTCATGATATTTTCAAATTCTCCTCTGTACCAACTCAGACGCTAACCTTCCTACTCTCCCCCACCCCTTCGGCATTGACAGGTCAATTCCTAGAGGCGCCTTGGAAGGATAATTCATTTTCTATTTAATCATGCATGCTAAATGGTAATACGACTCAATGGTACTATTATTGTAAAACTGGGTGCCACAGCTTTCATTGCAGGCATCTGTAGCTATTCATGTAGGACTGCCTGGGTTTGTGCAGTGTAGATCCTATTTGTATGATATCAAAATCGAAGGATGGCTGTTTAGTTAGGGAACAATGGCCCCTTTCTGGGTGAAGACACAGCAATACTAGAATGCAAACGCCGTTTCGAACAAAAATTATACGTAAACGTCTCTGTCATTTACAATGAGCTATCTTCGAGGCCATAGTATTAGAAATATTAGTGTCTGACGTTTGCAGTGGTGCAGTGCGTTGGAAGCTAGCACAACTTTTACAAAAATACAGGTAAAATGAGGTAAGTAGGGTGAATTCACAATTGATCGGTGCGCTCACCCTACAGGCTGTGACTTCCATTAGTCTAGGCACAAAAAAATCACAAAAAGTTGTGATTGATTGTTAGCACTAGGCACATAGCGTAGGTTACACGGAGATTTAACGGAATGAGAAATGACTTTGTTTATTGGTTAAAATTAAGATAACTCAGGCATCAAACTACTAAGCACCAGCTCATGCTTATGGGTTATCCTAGGGAGACTACCAACATATAATACATACCATTTGTATATTTAATCGATTAATATATCCAATTTCGGAAGTCAACATTTAGCATGTTCTCTTCTAGCCTCGGCCCAGTGACACGTAGACGCGTCCTTTGGATCCTTTTCCATCAAACTATCTGCAAATGAGAGCGATAAGGATTACCTACGAAGGATGGTGCTTTAGAGCAGTGGGAACCCTTAATGCATTTCTAGGGGTGTTTCAACAGAGAATCACCTGATCATTCTAGGCCTTTAACCACTGATGGTTAATAGTTGAGAATATTAGTCTGCGACGTGATGAGCATAAAACAATTTTTAAGAACATTCTGATTTAAAGTTCAGAGCCTATAAAAAGTACTTCAGGAAATAATTTAATGAAGGGGACCCGTTGTGGCCGTAATGACCGGATCTGAGAAAAAATGTGCGTGTAGAAGACATAGGAATCGAGGTGTATTGCAAATCTCTTTTAGATTGTGCAAACGTTCTACCATTTTAAATTGTTTACCTAAAGTGCAATGACAATACCTGCGAGTATAAAAAAACGAAGTGACAGTCAATATGATCAGTAGACGTTAAGCCTACCGCTGTAATCTTAAAATATTCTTCGCGAAAGTCTCACCAAATCCAAGGAAAGCGATTATTCACTATATCAATGAAAACCCTATGACCACCATTCCAAGTGATTAGTTGGTTTCTGAAAAAATAACATTCAGAAACAAGAGATAGTTGTAGGTTTGAAAATGAAAATTCTCTCCAAAAAAAGCAATGAACCATACACCAGAACTCAGTGAAGCACATAACCCCAAGCACCACATAGACCTGCTACGGTCAACATGTGAGCTTATAGTTCCGGCAACAATTCACCGATTTACACAACTAAAACTTGTGTTATCTGAAACGTAAAAGGTTAGTTGTTTAACTATGGGCTTTGGTAAAGGGACCACTAAGGTGCTCTACCATAATATATTTGTAGCGTCCCGAGACTCCCTGAAGACGAAAGAAGACACAATACTCGGGCAAAATATGTATTCAGTGCATAGAAGGTGTCTGGGCTATTGGCATGGCCCAAAAGGCCAGCCCACCCAGCGAGGTACAAGGGGGCTAATTCAAAGTACAAAAGTGGCGCCTCACCAGAACCGAGGGATAAACCACTATCGTATTACATATTCACCGGGCGGGCCGGTCTCGGGGACATGCCAGTAGCCCCAAGCACTACTGTAAAACTTGTTATTTAAAACGTTATTTTCAGAGTGGAGACGGGCAGACGTATCCATCCCTGTGACTGAGGAGCGGTCAGCATCTCTGAACCAAAGAAATGTCCCAAGTCCAAATCTCCTTATCCTTGTGCCCATTCACCATTTACTCTACGAAATAAACATATAAAAACCAAATCAGCCTACGTGTTTTAAGGGCATGAAGGCTAGGGAAGATGAGCCAAGCGAGCCTCGTCCTACCCTACTGTATGTCGTGTGTATATATTCTGCACAAGCGATGTGGCTGCCTTCGTTTAGGGGGAATTTGCAGGTCGCTATAGCTAAGTGATTAAATCAAAAATTGATGAATTTCAAAAAGAACACCATTGGACCGAGTTGAAATCATTCAAAACAAATCGCTCTCAGCTTTTCTTGACGCTTTAGTCCTAATTACTCAGTATTTGTTTCATTATCTTTTACTTCCAAAGCTACAGCAAATGATATCTTTTTGATTCTGATAAAAAAGCAGCAATTATATTCTGTGTAAGGTGGATACTCATAAAAATGGCCTTTTTAGACTTTATTACCAACTAATCATGTGTAATCAGAGTTTCTGTCATGTTTTTCTAATAATTGTGATTAGGGACATGTGTGAATTAACTGATGACCTTGTTGGTTTTATGATTTTGTTGAATTGCCGCCATATTTGGCTAATGGATGCTCCGAATTTTGCCGTATATGACCAGTCCGATGAGACAGTACTGTCCCGGAATAAAGCATTTAGCATATGTGCTCTTTGCTCTTTTGGAAACATGCTTTTTTGGGAACTCGCGAAGGGTATTCCACGTATTTCGTATCTGTTATTTACCCATGAAAACCACATTCTAAATGCATATTGAATTTTTTAAAGAGTTAGGATTTCATGCCTTCGCATTATGAAGCTTTTATGCCTTTACTAGTTCTCTTCAAGCGTAACTTTTGGCAGATGTCCTTTTATTGAGTGAAGTGCCTTCAAAGTAAAGAACATCTCTTGTTTACTTCCTTTTTCTCATTTTATTTCAATGGCTTGGATTGTGTTTTGCTATGGCTTCAAACTTCTTCGACCTTTTCTCGCTCATCCATACTAGTAATATCTTTAGGTCTAATGTCGGACTGATTTCACTTGAAATGCGCATTCCCGTTCAGTTTTCTCTGTTCGAATTTCAGGTATATCATGCAACTTGTTTTTGAAGAAGTTGAAGACCAGAAAACTTGCTATTCATTCAGTGTTGTGTTTTCACGTCGGATATCTGTAGTTTATTGGTTAAATATTTTACAACTTACTAGGAAACTGCCATCATTCTACTGCAAGCCTCTCAGTATACTGAACTTGTTGCTGCCTTGTCGGGAAGAAAGTTACGATTCTTTGATGCCGAGAAGTTGGAATGTTCAAATTTGCGGTCGGTATTGGATGGGGTCTCCACTTTCTCGATTGTTGATAGTTCCCTATCGACTGAGCGACATTCAATCGTACTTCTTGCTACAGTGATTTATCTGTTTAGCTCGCTGTCTGTAGCGAAAATCATATTCTTTATGTTTACAGAGTTATAAAATCACGTTGGGATTTGGTGAATACTATTAATCTCCCTTCTTCGGTGCTTGCTGTGGTGCATTCGCTAGTTCCTTTTTTCATTTATTCCTTTTAGAGATGCTTGGATAGCTATGCGATTGTTGCGACGAGTAATAAGTATTTTGGCGTCAATCTTAAAACGAAAACATGTGATGAGATATTTGATTGCAGTGGCAGTCGTGTTCAGCCCCTTATAGAGCCTGTGTCCAAGGTATGTGTATGAGATTTTTTGTACTTTGGCAGGATGAATTTTTGCTCTCAGGTCCGGGTTCACTAGGAGTTTTCGTCGATACTAATGGGCAGTCTAGGCGTCCACCGCTGACGCTATCTACTAATCTGTTTGCCTTGTTTCATCGCAAGCAACTAGTCTTCGCAGTTGACGATGAATTCGTCTCTATACACTGGTATCATTTTCTAGTTTTTAACACAAGTCCTTAGTGCTAACCAGCAAAAGCAGATCCAAACTTTGATTGTAGAGAACGTTTGTGCCGCGTGCATGTCTTTAAGTCGGAACATGGTTTTCGTGGTGTCGCAGGATACAACCAGCGGTGCGCGCATGCGTGTTATTCGACCAGAAACTTGGGATCTTGAGGCAAAGAGACTTATTCTGGCTGGCTGCCTTTCCGATGCCTCTGATCTTATTCACAAGGAATATGCAAAATTAGCTGAATTGTGCAGTCATCGTCCTGCTACCAGCAGCGGAGCAAAGAATATATTCACTGCAGTATGTCATGATTCTTCGGTTATTTTTTCCTTATTCCAGCGATCTAAACGAGTTTACACATTAATGGGTCTCTACCTATTCACAACAGGCCAATTAACTCAATCAAGAAAATTTTTTGAAAAATCCTCGCTAGATATTCGGGAGGTATGGTTTTTTGTGTTAAAATTCAAAGTCACCTAGCTGTTGTGTCGTTATGTGGACTTGCTTCCCCGTGACTATGCTTATATTGCTGATCCAAATTTGAATATAACTGCGGCTGCCAAAGCAAGCTCGAGCACATGGGCCGGTGAACCACTATCCAATATCTTCGATCTAAGCGAGAACCTTGGTATTTCCGTCAACGAATTCCGGAAATTCCTCTTAGATTTCTTACTTGAAAACCGTCGTGGAAGAATATTTTCCAAACACGCCCAGGTCAGCACGTAAATACTTCTCTAATTGACTTTATCCAGCTCCATTGGTGCCTCTAATCTCTGTTTCTCCACCAAAATATGGCTTTACTTAATGACTAGATGGATTTTCCTTTAACTTATCAGTACAGATCTGTAACTCAAAGTTACCATTCCTCTAAATATATAGTGAATCTAGGTAATTTGTTCTTCTGCATTGTTCTGCTTTCAGGTAGCGACACCATCGTTGCTGCCCCTTTCATCCACATTGGTGTAGTTATTACATTGTCTCAAGTGAAGCATCTCTAGTGTATTTATTTTTTAGTTATATCGAAGCGGGTACTCTATGTAGTGTAGATTTGGGATTGTTTTTTGCATTGTGTTGCACCTATAGTCAGATTAAATGGATTGATAGATCATCTCCTAAATTACTTCATATTTTTGTCATTGTCACTCATTAAAATTGAAGAACTTTAGTTACTTGGTATATTGGTAATTTCGGTTGAATTTGTTTTCTGCCTCTAGCTTTTGTTAACACCCCGTTACACGTCTTAGTCTTCGTCATAAACGCAGGCTTGCTATTCTACCAAATAGCTTTTCCATTAAGTGTCCCTTTTTTTGAATAAGTCAACTCGCCGTATCTATCATTGTTTGTGTTCATTTTCACGTTATGTTGTTCATTTAGAAACGTTTTAGTTTTTCTAAACAAACATTTTATAATGCGTATTATTTTGGAGGATATGCCTTCAAATACTGCAGGCTTAATATCATCCTTTAATCAAGCACGCTCTTAGCTAGAATCAGCACAGTTCTTGAACCATGCATGACCAAATAGCCCTCACCAATACTGGTGACCGCTGTTCTTCCTGAAACAAAGTCCTTGCATATAATCGCCTTGATGATTCTGTGATTCTTGTGACGTCTGCCTTTCTTACTTAGTACTCAACCAGCATGGTCCTCTTTCCAACCCGAACTTCAATTTTTCCATTCTCCTCTCCTCCATCCTCAGCTTTTTCTTTTTCTTCATTCTGGGGCATCGACTCGTGTACATCCACTATGGCGAGAATGGTATTCGATGCGCTTCTCTTTACTTTCCATCGACAAGGCCCCACACTTTTAGGCGTTCCATTCGAGACTGTCGCGCTGGAATCTGGATTTGATTCCCCCGATAAAAGTGGAATGACTTTGTCCACTCCATTGATAGACACACACCGATGACCCCATAGGGGAAGTGGAAGTTGAGCTCCTTTGTGCCAACTGTCAAACGTTTCCACAGGCAACTGTGGACTGAGACTTGTAATACCGTCGTCGCCCTCACTCACCGGCATCCAAATGGGTGCGTTGACGGAACTGGGTCCTGGCGTGCTCTCATTTATCGGATGCTCGGAGTTATCTCTCTCACCTCTCCATGAATGGCGCTCCTCGCCTATTTGAATTCTTCCCACCCATGGTCGCCAATACTCTATGTCCGCCGTACAGAAGGCTTCACCTCCACCGCCTATGCAAAAGATCTTGTCTTCATGTACACACGCTGCAAAATCAGCCCGTTCAGCTATGGATGGCATTAACTCCCACACACCCTCTTCTGGGGTGTATCGTTCCACAGTGCTACTGTAGCCCAGAGCGACCACAGATGTTGTCATTCTCGCTGAGTTATCTCCTCCCCCACCGAGAATGTACAGGTGGTTCTGGTAGCAAACTGCACTAGCGTAGTAACGCGGTTGCGTCATCGGTTGTATCATTGTCCACTGGTTAGTCTCTGGGTTGTAGGTCTCGCAACTGTTTGTCAAAGACTCCATTCTACTCTCCGTATATCCACCGCAAACATATATCAGCGAACCGACCGCATCACCGGCTGGAGCTCCTCGGGGAATTATCATGCGTGCAACCTCTACCCAACCATTTGATTTACCCTTATCCAATGCAAGAGCCTCTACAGAGTCAAGGACTGTGCGATTGTTATCGCCTCCAATTGCATAGAGCGTTTTGTCTTTCAAGTTTACCAAAATCAAGTCTCTACGAATATCGTGCATTGGTGCGCAGCCTTTCCAGCCTCGACTGCTACTGTTGCTCTTGAGTTCATACCGAAGCACTTCCTGGGTAGCGTGACCACTTCTGCTTTCTCCTCCCGCAATGTAAATAACTTCGTTATCCACATTTGCGATTCCGAAGCTCATGAGAGGATGCGGCAACACGAGACTTGATTCCAACTCGGTGTTGTAGGTTTTCCACTTTTTCCGACGTGAATCTAACACTCTGACATTTCTACATGGTTGACCGTTCTCCCAGCCCCCAAATACAACGATTGCTTCATGTGGTACTCTGGGACCTAGAGTAGACCAGTTTTTAACTCTCCCACTGTCTTGGTCTCCTAATCGGGAGGATAAAGATCGGAGGTTTCGTGTCGTTCGAAGCAGACGCCGTCGTAACTGCTGAAGCATCCAAACACATCTGTTTCGTGATTCATAATTACGAGAGGAATCGGGAATGGTAACCAGTGAATTCCGTACTACGCCATTGCCCGTTCGAGTTGCCTGATGATTCCTTTTCATTTGCATCCCTGGAAGCTTCAATAAACGATTAATTTCATCTACTTCTAACTGATCGAGTCTCACGCAATGTTCGATTAGACGTGGAGTAAACTTGAGCAGCGCGTCAGAATTTTTCGATTGCACACTGATCCATGCCTCTATTATATCTACTACCTCTGATTCAGCGCGGACATTTAGCCTGTCCGAGGCAAGAAGGAATTCAAGTTCGGAGGCGCTAAAGTGTGCAAAACCCCTTGAAAGCGCCCTTAGTGTAAATTTGCGAAAATTTTCATGCATGAATTTTATTAGCACATGACCTGCTTTTTCATCAATCTGACTTATGTTAGTGTTTGTGGAGGTGTTTGGAGCTGTGAATATAATTTTCCAGAGGGTCCAGCAACTTTCTAAATTCAGATTTGTTTTCAAGTAGGCGATACAGTATTTGTGAAGGCTTTCCATTCCGTAAGTATTTGCCACTCGCAAGCCACACGTTAGATTGCATTCTGCTACTGTCGTTGTCAGGTGCAGCTGTGCGGTGCTCAGGAGTACTGTATTTGTAGTACCTCGGAGGTCTTCTTTGTTTTTTGATTTTTCATCCCTTCTTTTCGTTGGCAAAGTTTCTGATCGTTCAATTACGGTGGTGGTGGATATTCGGCACTCTCCCAAGTGACAGAAATGAATGGCGAAAGCCAAATCATTGACGTCAGTGCTAAGATGGCAATCAATGAGTAGTGGATGTTCTTTTGAATGCTCACGTTGGCGATGCTGTTGATCTTGTCGATTGCGCCGCCTCTTTTGACGCTCGTCAACTTCTTTAATCAGCCGACGGAATGTAAGACTTTGTGTGGCAAGCTTGTAAGCATTGACATATATAAATTGACGACCTGAAACTAGTTTTAGTGGGCGATTCAACGCCCATTGCATCTTGTAACCAGAAAGTAAATTTACAGGCAGTTCACGAGAAGTGGAAGGACATTCTTCCCATCTCTCTCTATCTCCGCTCTCAGCCTGTGGGATCCATTTAGCAGTTGTGTCATCTCCATCCATTGACTGTATTTTTATGTGCCAGGTCAAAATACCGCCTTTATGGTAAATCAAATTTATTGACTTTTCCTGACAGCCGCACCTTTACTACCATGCGTAACCAAAGTGGGTAACACATGGCCAATTTTACGAAGGAAATGCTGAGGCGCTGAGTTGGTGCTTTGCCCTCCAAGTGCCGCTGTAAACATAGTTTCCTACCGCACTCTACCAGTACCATAGCTATTTCACTTAGCACCACTTACCCGTAAACTTATTTCCTTCATAATTTAATCATCCTTGTCTTTGGTGAGTTTTCAGCTTGTCGAAACTGCAATTCTAAAACTATGTGTACATTTGGCCGAAAACAGTCCCTTCATCCGCGGTTGGGGCTATGAGAGCTGGGAGGAGTTGGTCAACTCCTTATCAAACGTTGATGTTGAAGATCTCTTGATCTTTCTCGAAGGGCATCATGCATATCACGTTAAGGCTTTGTTGTACCGATGGAATGGCAGTGTTGAGGCCGCTTTTGATATTTGGAGGAGGTAACTTGTTTGTCAGATTTCTTACTGTATTGGATTCCCCTTTACCCTTATGCCGGGTTCCATTGTCTTTGACTCCTCTCATAAAATACATCCCTGCTAGTTTGCCTCAGTGCATTTAGACCTCTAGGCCACTTGCTCACATCAGTCGCTTAAATCCATTTTGAGGGTTTCAAGGTGCATTAGTTTATTTACCCTTAATTTTACTGCTTTACGTTAATGAATAATTTGTGTTTGATTTTGGATCCAGCAGTTTACTAAGGAAATAACTTAAGTGTTGGATGTTAAATGTGGTCATTTTTTCTTCATGATTACCTCTTGCTTAGCCATTTCGTATATTCACAGTAATCTCCCACCACGATATTTATGTCAACTCTTTCCTGTTTTAAAACTGCTGTTTTTATTTTAGTCTAGCACTTGAAGTCTTAACCGATGTGCACTTTCCTGGTCCAGATTTTTTTACGGATGCGCTATTCACGTAAGTAAATTTTATCCGTTAACATGTACTTGTGCAATTTCTGTTCCTTTAACCCCTGCACCAAGTTTCGATTATGTTACTGACATCTAGAAAAGCATAAAGCAGCTTTTTTGTTAAAGGTAAATAAAGTAGAAATCTTCGATTCTTACATTGCTACTGTCTTGAACTATCTCCAGTTTCTTCCAGTGTATTTTATCTATTTGTCTTTAATGTGTTTGTTCTTTGCAGTTAAACTTTGCTCTCCAACCCCTCTGGAGTGCTTCTGTTATTTGCTATAATGCACATCCAAAAATGAGCTATTTTGATGTGACATTTGGATGCTTGACGTTATTTTATCAGAAAGTACTCTAATCAGATATTAGCCCTGACACTTTTAATCTTTCTAGCACTCTGACATCACCAGATGCGTGCAAATGCCATATCTTTTCCTTCATTGACCATCACGGAGAATCTGGTGGTGTCAACAGTGAATCCGCCTTAACAGGTAGCACAGTGTACGTAGAACTCGTCGCGCGCCACCTGCAGGACCTTCTGAGTGTAGGTGGGGAGCGCGCTGCGGAGCTGGCAGACTGTCTGTTGCAACGCCTCGCCTGTATCACTAAGTGGGACGGTGCTGGCGCCTCCACAAACACTGCCAATGCTAAGGCCTCCACTTTCGTCTTCGCGCCTACCAGCCTCCTCAAATGCCTTCTACCGCGGTATCCCAGTTTGGCGGAGAACTTTCTTTGGTATCGGATCTTCAAAGCTGGCGATAAGGTAAAAAAGATTCCTTTATTTTGGGGTGCTTTGTCAACTGGCTAAATTCCTACAGCCCGACATTCTTGAAACCGATGTTATTGCTTGATGTGTTTTTACGTTAAATGTGTTTTTTCTTTGTATTTTTGGAGTCACAAATTCCACGGTAGCTCAATTAAATAAAGTGACGACTTTGTTGATTCACCATCTTCTCCTGTGAAAAAAAAAAAACATTTAATGTGGTTTTGTGGGTTCCAACTTCTGAAATTGCCATATTGGTGTCGTGCCTTTCACTATGCAATTATTTGAATGAAAATATGGTTGTTTGAAACCCTTCTCAAAAACGATTTCTCCTTTTATATAACTCGCTTGGTGAGTTTTTTTGCGCAAGTGGTTGAATATATACCGCAGCTTTAATAAATTGGATTTTATTTTTTAATCCGATAAAGGAGTCTTCAAGACATACACTACTTGCTGAGTTGCAAATGGACCTCCTTCTTAAGTATGCTGAAGCAAACGATGCTGAACGCCTTGAGAGGCAAAGGTAAATCGACGACTCATTGTTGGTCGGTACTGCCAAACAAGTAAATATTTCGAATTCCTTAATCCCTAAGCAAACACAATTCTAATTTGAGTATCTTAATGTTTCTCAATTTTACTGATACCTTGTTGTGTACAGGAATTTTCTGCTTTTTTCTAAGGCGCCGCTTCCGATACACTCTTTCTCAATTGGAAGACTGCCAAACGGGAAAACTTCTGGAAGCCTTAAAGTCATCGCCTTCGGCCTCTCTTTTCGCTGAAGAATATGTCACTCTTTTGGGCAAAGTACATCCGTCTGCTGGCAAATTTTAATTGCGTGTCTTTTTTGAACTTCAAATTAAATTGTTTGTTGGCCATAGCCTTTACACAAAGGCATTTTCACCTCAAATGCCTCGGACTTTTGAAGTTAGCTATTGTTCAATCTTTAGTTTTCCTTTTTCTGTAGCTCAAAAAATACAACGAAGCATTGGAGCTCCTTTTGCTGAGGAAGCGCGACCTTGATGCTGCTCTGCGCTTTTGCGCGTGGTGTGCTACCTTAGAAGCACGGCAGAAGGTAGCAGAACAAAGTGTTCTTTGGTGTCATCAAGATAAAAATGCTTCTAAGGCCTCCTCTCAGGTGCCTTTGACACCACACGTCTACACTGTTCTTATACAACTTCTTCTTTGCAGGTTAGTTTACTCACGGATTATTGGCTTTGTGCCTCACACAGACATCCACTACCAACGTACACTTTGAAATCCATATTCTGCGTCAACTGATCACACCTGCCATCGCCCTTGTGTACAAGTCCGGTTCGAAATGGGTCTTCATTAAATTTAGCTGTACATACTACGCAAACTGCAGTATACTCGATTCAATGCTTCGATTTTTGCATGGATAGCCTCTCACGCATTCGATTCTGTCTTCAGCTCAGACAAGCTTCTACTCGAACAATCAAAAAAATTGTTGGAGAGGGATATCCCGAACCTCGATTTCGTGGAGGTAATTTGTGGATAGCACTGATTTTTTTAAAATCCCGTTTAACCAAGATTGCCATTGCTCTAAACTAGTTTACTAATCGTGCTCATAAGAAGAGTTCAGTGGAGCTCTTGGGCAAAAATCCTCCATTATTTGCAGTCTCTGTCGATGCATACCCTTTAAAAATATACCGGTGACCGAGGTCTCATCGTAAGATCGACTAGTCTTACTTGTGAGTTTGCAGATCTGCAAGGCCCTCCCTGAAGACTGGCCTCTCACTAACACCGCCTCCGCATTCCTGACGCGTGCGCTCAAGTCGACGCTGACACGCGTATCCGCTTCCAACATGGAGCTTGGTCTGGCTGCGCGCCTTGCCTCTGCATCGCAAACAGAGGCGGTGGCTTCCATTTCACACGGACTTCCTGTGACTGAGGCATCCCTCTGTGCCTGTTGTCAGCTCCCCTTGAGCGCTTACGGCTCCCATCGACCCTTCGCCTGGATCCTTGCCCCTGATCATTCTCCTTTTAGCGTTGTCCATCTACACTGCCTCCAGGCGGACAGCAAACTATGAGTCTTTTTCTCATTCTAATTATTCTTATCAAATTTAAAATATCGACTGATTTCCTATGCGTTAGTGTCCTAATCTCGCTAAGCATTTCTGATGCTAAATATATGGGAATGAGTCAGTATTAAAAAACAGTTTATTAATTTAATAGACAGAATAGATCATGAGCTAACACCAATTAAAGTGAGGCATATTCATTTTTTTATTCTCGTGGGGACTATTTCCTCACTGAGGGCCCGCAGCTGCATTTTAAAATTAAGATTTGGAGAGATGCTTCGTGCGTCATTGACAGTTCTATAGGCGATATCGAAAGGCATTTGGTAGAGTTTGATAAGGCAACCGATGAGGACAGATGGGGCGCGAGAAACGCCCACATTGCAATGAATGAGCAGACGACCATGAGAAGGGAGCACCCTCTCTCGTATGAAAAAGCAGCAAGAGGTAATAATTGGCATCAAGTCCGCCTGCATGTCATCATACAAGGTGCAGGACAAGTACTCAAACTGATCCTCAAATTTATTTTCTGCATAGTTGCTTATCAAGTTAACGATGTGAGTTATCCCCTTATCCTGCAAAGTGTTAAAATCTTCAGCAACGTCTTGCGAACCTAAAATGGCAGTATGTGAAACCATTGCACCCATACCGAAATAATAGGTGGTACCTTGCACCAATACTTCCCCCACTCCCAGATCAGGCTCGTTGTTGACTATGAAACCGTATCGTGATATATCGTCGCTGAGATGCCCCGATCTCGTAATAGTGGAAATAACGCTGCCATTGCGATCGGTAACCAGCACACGCCCATCCGGTGTACGAACTTGGACAGTTGTAGACCGTAAAAGCCTTTGGTCGAAATCTTTAATTGAGTTGTTCAACGCCAGGATTCAAGCAAAACTGGAATTAAAGGATGGGAATATAACGGTGAACACGCGGACTATACGTATCATTTGAAAGAATTTCTCAGAAATGACGACTAGCAAAGATGACTCAATTTGACCCTAAAGTCACAAACTGAAACCCACTGTTAAGTCAATTTAGATAAATGGAAAAAGGCTTAGAAAAGGCAAGTATCCAGTTTGGGGCTCCGGTGGTTATGTCAACAACAAATTAGGAGATCAAATCGTCTCACCGATGCTTCATAAGTGCACACTAGCCTTCCAAGGCGTAAAACAAAGAATACTAATGCCACAAAGGTAATTTTGAAACTTACTAGAAAACAACTCAGAATTTGTAAAAACTCAAATTTTATGGAAGAAAACGTGTTCAAAAATAAATCTTAGCAAGCTAGTGAAACAAAATTTCCAATAAACGTTCCATGTAGAATATAAAAAGGTTTTTTATACTTCTCAAAAAGTATTAGGCAAAATAAACATGATCCTTGTCAAAGTGTTTCAACAGAAAATATTGCAACAGGTTCATTGTTCACCTTTTCCTCCTAGACCCCTAACTTAAGAAGCTGATTAGATAACGTCATATTTATTGATATTCGTAGACGCAAGAATCTGTCGAAGGTGTGTCCTTTTCATATTTTAGTCTACCTTGGGGAATCCTAACGAATCCTTGAGTGTTTCTCACCTGCAAGGCATATTCAATTAATTTAGGAATTGCATTATCATACACTGCACCTCACTAAGCCTAGAGTTTGGATAAACAAATTGGCATGAAAGATCGCATTCTGTTTGCTTACAGTCGATGGAGACCAAACAGACTACCGAATTACTTGGTCGTTGGCCTTCTAACTTCTCTTGATTCATCCTACACGCCGGCAGACAAAATGTTTTTAATGCCCTAAAAGCAACCCAAAAGCTAGCAATTTTTAACCATTGAATAATCTTACATTTGTTTCGTTACGTTACAATGTATTCCTAAGTCCCAACTTTAGATGGATTTTGTCACTTGGCTCTCGAGCATTGAGGAAAAGGCAATGCACTTCCTTTGGCCGATGATACACAGACCGTACTCTTCTTGAGTTAGTGGTCACTCGTTTGATGCTTGTCCACAATTTCAAGCTGTTTAGCAAGAAAGGCATCATAATATTTCCGCTCAAAAAAAGTCGGACTCATTTTTCTGTAATATTATATTGGTTTAATGTACCTTTCAGGGAGGAGGCAAGAAGGAAATTCGAATCGCGTGACCGGATCGTCCTCTCCCGTACCTAATGACTGCCACCCCCCCCCCCCTCCTTCTTGAACGTTGTATTTTCCCTCTCCATCTTTTTATCTCTAATAAATATGTCCAAAATGAATCAATCGGGCTTGTCTAAGAACGCTAGGAATGGGGAAGCGCAGACCGATGAGTCTCGCTCCACATTTCCTTGTTACTTTGGCATTGTTGAAATGCTGTCAAGTTGGCCATTCGTACTTAACTTGGTCATTGGAAGCGCAAAGGTAGAATTGGTTCCTAATGTGGTATACCTTTTATGGTGAGCAAGCAGAAAAGTTATTTCTTTAAGTCATTTGCGCTTATAACTGTAGCACTTTTGGCCTTTTGCTTTCTAGTATGCCAAAGCAGCATAGAACAATTGCTGTATGCTTATCAGCATGCATCAAATCCTCAAGTAAAACTTGCGATGAGTCGGTTCTTGCGCGGTCAAACATAGTGAGCAAGGTACTAGATTGCTGCAACTAGCCTTTTCACTTTCTCAGATTTTTTCCCGAAGTCACTTTAGGTGTAATAATTTACTAGTTTGCTTAGCTCTGTGGTCAATTACGTGTACAGTTAGGTCCTTATAGATCGCACATTTGCTTGGTTGGAAGTAAATATTCTGAGTTATAACCATAGTCTCACTAACTTTCATAGCAAGTCACTTTAGCCGCAGTTTTTTAATAACTTTTCTGCACCTTATTTGAATGTCAGAATTCACTTAAAGTATAATAAAATTATTTTATGTCATTTTAATGACTGTATTTCTGTGTAATGCGATGGTTGCTTATCTCTGTGCATTAGTGAGGAGCCACTTTCGACTTGGCCTCTGTACCAAGCTGTGTGCGCCGGCTCGGTCCGGGCCGTGCCGGTAGTTCAAAT